AATTACACAATAAGATGTTATTTAGGATCTTTGAGGCCATTGCCTATTTGTAATCAATTATAATTGATTTCACGAAATTCTTCGAATGAAAGTATCGGCGTATAATATTTATACATAGCTTCCGCTTGATTTGAATTGTTCTTTTGAAAAAAGACTGTTGATTAATAATAATAATACCATTCAATTGAAAGTATTACGAAAATTATTGTAATTGTGATTGTTATTGTTATTATTATTTGTCATTGTGATTACGATGACGGAATTTCCTTTTTTCGGCCTAATACTGACAAAAAAAATCGGTTAATCTAACCTAATTAGTTAGCGTGTATTAGTAATCGCAATAAATAAATGGAGAGGTTGTTTTAGATATCGATTATAAAATTTTTTTATTTTACAAAAAAAAATGACCGTAGTAAAGATTCAAAGTCAAAAAGAATTGGACGAAAAGTTTGATGACGGATATGTAAAACAAAATATTTTATATAATTTTATAATCTTATTTTCATGTTTTTTTTTTTTTAATTAAAACAATAAATCTTTTTTTCAAAAAAAATAAAGGTAATTGTAGACTTTACGGCCACTTGGTGTCCCCCTTGTAAATTTATAGCACCAATCTTTGAAAACCTTTCTAAAATTCATTCACATGTTAAATTTCTTAAAGTCGATGTTGATGAGAGCAGTGTAAATATATAAATAAATGTTTAGCATACATACATAATCATCAAAATAACACATTCTCTTTTATCCTTAACTAGGATATCGCAGAAAAATACAATGTAACCTCCATGCCAACTTTTATCTTGTTTAACAAAGGCGAAGTGGTAGGCACCGTGCTTGGTGCTTCTGAAGCTAAAATAAAAGAGTTGCTTGAAAAAGCCCCAAAGACCTCATAATCATTTTTATTCTTAATTTTTTGAAGAATTTTTTTATTATGTTATATAAATATATTATCTTTGATTGTAGCAAGTGAAAATAAATAAAGATCAAATTTTTATTTATTAACACGTGATAGACACGTATGCGTAAATTATATTTCTTTTTCAAAAAAAAAAATATAATAATGAATCCATTGAAGAATCTATTGAAATTAGAGCCAGTATCGAAACCAAATTATTCCTTAAAATATGTATTGGATTTTGCCACAAACCTCGGACTTGAGAATGTAAAATAGTTATTATTAGATAATTATTATTTTGATTAATTTAATTATTATTTTAGTTATTAAGAAAAATGTAATTTATTATATAAAGAAAAAAAACACATCTTCACAAGAAATTGAAAGTTCGATACAATTCTTGAATTTATTGAAGGAACTTTTAGATTTTTTAGAGGATTATCAAAAAGTAAAGGATTATTAGAATTTTATGTGTATGTGTGGATAAGTCAGTTACTAATAATATTTTTTAATTTTATTGCCTAGTGTTTTGTTGAATTGAATCAATTTATTGATCTAAAAGAAAGCTTTGATATAATTAAAAAATCACAATTTGGTAAATAAATAAATGAATAATATTTGATCATCAATATTATTTTATTTTTACTGATCACACAAAAAAATTATACGCAAGTGTAGAAAAGAAGATTATGGAATTGTCCAAGTTTAATCAACATTTGGAAATTGTAATGTCAAATAAAGAATCACTTTTGATGAGATTAAAAGATCCTTACGTTGGAGATCATATAAACGTAGAATTGGAACACCAAAAGTATATAACTACCTACACATATATAATGAAAATATAAAAATATATATATAAACATTTAATTAAAACAATTTAATGATTTTTTCTAAAGAACATTTTCAGAATTATTTTCCAAGATTGCAACAAGTATTTCCACTTTATCCAATAATCTAGAAAATATTAAATGGTTTGATGAAAAAGATAATCTAATAGATGATCAAATGGTTTGTAACTAATAATAGTCATAATAATAATATAAATAATAAATAACATTAATAAGTTATAAAGAACTAATCTTCCCAAAAATTAAATGTTATTTCTAGGAATCACAAATTTCCAAAAAATCTTCTTTAATTGCATTATATGAAAATTACTCTAATACGATTGATAGATATGGAAAAGCCTTAAAAAATCTTTTGGAATCTGCTGAAAAGAAAGTGATTAATATTAATAATTAATATTATGACATAATAAATAAATAATGTTAT